TATATATATATATATATATATATATATATGTATGTATATGAATATATATATAGATATATGGATATGAATGTATATATAGATAGATAGAAATGGGTATAGATATGGGCATATGTATGTGTCTGTGTGTGTGTGTATGTGTGCGTGTGCGTGTGTGTGTGCGTGTGTGTTGTGTGTGTGTGTGTGCCCCCGTGTGTGTGTGTGTGTGTGTGTGTCTGTATGTGTGTGTGTGTGTGTGTGAATAGAGAGAGAGAGAGAGTAGAGAAAAAGGAAGGGAGAAAATTAGAGAAGTCACTCATGCCTATGAACGCATACACATTTAAAACACTTGCGTTTCTTTACTAATAGAATTCAGAGCAATAGCCAAATTGTACTAAATAACCAAAGGTACCCCCAGTTTATACAACTCAGCGAGACCTACCTTTCTTTCGCTCTCCTCCTACGCAGTGCCTCCTTCTTGGATCCTGCTCCCCCTCAACATCACACTAGCAAGGGCCTCCTCCTGCTGGCACTCTTCCCCAGCGGTGCCACTTTCCGCCTAGCGACCCCTGGCACTTTCTTTGCCGAAGTAAAAATCTCGTAGACTCCAGTCACTTGTCCTCCCCCCCCCCCCGACCCCCATCCAACGCCCCTCATGGCACCCTGTGGAAGGTTTTTACAAGGGGAAAGATTCGTGACAGGACTGGAGGGTCAATCAAAGGTTATTTTCTCTCCTTTCCAGCGTCTATTTTATTTTATGTTATTTGTTTTTTTCTTCCTATTTTTTATCTTTATATTTTTTGCTTACCGGTGCAGAAACGTCTTCTTTTCTGTTAAAGAGATGGAGGAAATGTGGTCTTATTAAAGAGCAGCTAACTAACCTGCCGTCACTCCCCCCAAACGCCAGGCAAACCCCCCCGATCCCCCCCCCATCCCCCCCGACAGGAACGTAACAAAGAACCCTTGTTCACCAACGGAGAGAGAGAGAGGGGGAGGTGTAAGTGAAGGCAGAGAAGAGGACGAGAAAGGGAAAGGGGAGAGGATAGGGGGGGCGGGAGAAAGAGAGAGAGCGGAGGAGCGAAAGCGAGGTCACGAAAGTAGGAACGGGAAAGAAGCGATAAGAAGAGAGTAGGAGGAGGAGGAGGAGGGGGGGGGGTGGAAAGAGAACAAAAACAAAGGATTCTTTGAGTAAAGGAGTTTCAAGTAAGATTTTAGAACAAGCACAGACTAAACACGGTATCGGAAAGTAGAGAATGGAGAAAGAATGTAAAATAGAATACTTCTTTATATATTTTGTCTGCTTTTGCTCGATGGATTGTCGAAGATGAAGAACATTAAGTATCGATTTAATCTTAATTACCCTTTTATCATAACACAATTTCAGGATAAGGAAACACTCTAAAAATTCATGCTGAATGTAATGTTTATATGTGTGTTTGTGAACACACACACACACTTTATATATATATATATATATATATATATATATATATATATATATATATATATATATATATATATATATATATATATATATATATATATATATATACATATACATATATATATATATGTATGTATATATATACACACACACACACATACATATATATATATATAAATATGTGTGTGCGTGTGTGAGTGTATGTGTGTGTGTGTAAATATGTGTCAGTGTTTGTATATATATACATATATATGTGTGTGTGTGTGTGTGTATGTATATATATATATATATATACATATATGCATATATATCTATATATATATGTGTGTATGTGTGTATATATATATGCATATACATATATATATGTGTATGTGTGTCTGTATGTGTGTGTGTATGTATATATATACATATATGCATATATATATATATATATATATATATATATATATATATATATATATATATGTGTGTGTGTGTGTGTGTGTGTGTGTGTGTGTATGTATATACAAACACACACACACACATATATATATATGCATACATATATACATACATACAAACATAGTTGCATATATATATACATATATATATATGTGTGTGTGTGTGTGTGCGTGTGTGTTTGTGCGTATATGTATGCGTGCGCGCGCGCGCGTGTGTGTGTGTGTTTGTGTGTGTGTGTGTGTTTGTGCGTATGTGTATGTGCGTGTGTTTGTGTGTGTGTGTGCGTGTGTGTGTGTGTGTGTGTGTATGTGTTTGTATGTGTGTGTGCGTGCGTGTGCGTGTGTTTATGCATATATATATATGTGTGTGTGTTTGTGTGTTTGTGTGTGTGTGTGTGTGTGTGTGTCTGCGTGTGTGTGTATACATATATATATAAATATATATATATATATATACATATATATGTATGTATATACACATACATATGTATATATATGAATACTTTATATATATACATATATAAATACACACACACACACACTCACACACACATATATACACAGACACAGACACACACACACATATGTATATATGTATATACATATATATATGTATATATATATGTATGTATATATATAC